TTAACATCACTGGTTACAGTGTAAGGCCACAGGCTTATAATCATTTTCTTTCAAAGATTAAACTTGTCAATCATGATAATTTTGTTTTTCTTCTACTTAACCAAAAATATCTGTTTTCTTGTGTATTTTCCTAGTACAAAACAAATTTTAATATTATGAATTCTCTTTGTTTGTATCTTCTTCCTTTCTTATTTCCTTTTGATAAAGTTTACAATGTGGTTAATTTGTAGAAATTGACGATATGGCACTTTATCCGTAACGTTTAGTAATGTAGTCCTGGGGTCTTGCAATATGTTTTCTTTTTAAAACAATAAAATAGTTAATCATTAATTCATCAATTTCTACTTTCTTTTTTAATTTTTTTTTTGCTTTGTTTTGTATTGTTTCTTACTTTTGATTTATTACTTTTCATTTTCATTTCATTATTTATTTATTCATTCTTTTAATGTATGTAGTGTCTATCGAAGCACTTTCGAGGTAAGTTACTTTTGTGTCGTGGTATCAATCAAATCAAGAAAGATAAAAAAGGGGAAATAACAGAGAGTGAGAAACAACACATTTATGACTGACATTCCTCTTTTCTATGCAATTTACGCCAGGACCCTTTCTTCTCTGGGTTTCTGAGAATTTAACTTTAACTAGTAATGTAATTGTTTGATGCTTTTGTGTTTTCCCAAACATTCTTAACAGCTGTTTGCATTCCTCAAGTTTTTATAAATAATAAAAAATTGCCAACTGAGACACTGAATTAACCATACGCTCTGAAACTGACAGTGTAAATAGCCATAGTGAAAAATACATAGAGGAAGAAGTTTTATTCGACTTTTAAGCCCCCTCAAAAACTCTCTTTATCAAGAAATAATTTAATTTTTTCTCTCGTAATTCTTTGGCAAAACAAAAAATTTTTATTTAATTGGCAAGCTAAGGATTTAACGCTTTAGTTCTTCCGCTGTAATATATACATTTACTTAACGCGTTATGCATTCTTCAATTGTTATGATTGGTTTTACTGAAGTCAGTTGTAACGAAAAGGAAATTTCATTTCCTAAAAATTGAGGTGAATTTTCTAAATTTAGTAATTGCCAAAGCTTTGCTCGACAAATTTCTTTTTGGTTTGTCGAAAAACATAGTCGAGCAAAGTTAAG